AGGATGTGTGTCACAGAATCACTGAAGCTCCTCCTCTGTGCTACTCAGTTCTCTGTTGAAGGGGAACAACTTTGACTCTCAGATTCTGCTGCTGTGGAGGCCCCTGGTGGCCCCAAGCTGTTGTCTCCAGCTCCAGTTAGTAATGAAGGAGTTCAACGACAACAAAAGCAACAGTTTACATCAATCTTTTTGAGTTACGACAACTTCTGATGACATCATGTTCAACTAACAAACTACATTGAGTTAGATGAATTAGTTTAAGGTATTTTTTAATTCACTCTCTAAAATTGTCCAGCTATGTTATGGCAGATTATGACAGATTATGACAGTTATCTCAATTTGAACTTACTTTGAAACCAACTAACACCAGAATCTGAGTGTAAATCACAAACAATATTAAGTTGATGACATGACCATCAATATTATGTTCCCCTGGCAACTCTAAAGGTTTGTCTAAATCAGTTAATCTGATGTGTTAACTTTTAACTACATACTTAAATAAGTACTGAGAATAGGTCCCTTTTATTCCATCAGTTGGAGCTCTTGCAGCTATTGTGGGTGCAACAGAGGACGTGTTCAGATTCTGATTGGTGTCGTCTTAGAAGGAGGATGAAATGAGGCTCTGAGGTGAAAGGATGCAGTCATGTTGTGCTTCTAAAGCTGGTTGTGGGACAAGTCAGAGCCACTGGGCCAGAATTACACATTTCTAGATGCTTGGCTGAAATACACCATCTGGACCAAAGCATCACATCTTCATCATTGATTTCAGGTGTCTGAGTCAGACCCACTGTCACAGCTGAACTCAATCAGGTGAAATCAAGCACCTGCAGTCCACATGCAGTCAGACAGACCATTCCTAGTGGGATCAGTTTGGGGAAGGTCCTCCTCTGCTCCAGCATGAAACAAGATCCATGAAGACATGGTTTGGTGAGTTTGGTGTGGAAGAACTTGACTGTTCTGCATAGAGCCCTAAACCCATCCAACACCTTTGAGATGAACCAGAACAGAGATTGTGATAATGCCTCAAGAGCTGTAAACGTTTTGATGGCCTGAAGGTCCAGTTTTTGGATGTTTATCTCGTAACATAGGAAGCCTGTTGTTGCTTACTGTGTGACACCAGCATTGTGTTTCTCCACCTGTATGTGTGTCTGGATGTAACTTTTGTTGGATTTGTTTCATGATCCTTTAATTTGTGGTTTCATCAGATAGTGTTGGCCTGTTCTATCTTTCCATCTTGTTTGACTTTCATGTTTTGAAATTCTTTTTGGTCATATTTTTCTCATTATCCAATCGTGTTTTTAGATTTCAGGTGGAATTTTCTGAGGTTTTGTTGATGATTTGGTCTCTGAGAACTCGTTTATTGTTCTGTCCATCTGTAGGCCTACTGTCAGACTTCTCAACACCTATTGTCACATACAAAATGACATGTAGTGTTAGAGCAGGCTTCTGAAACCCGCCTTTGGGTTGTTCTTCATATTTTAACAACTATTACTATTCTTTTAAAGAGATTCTATGGAGGTGTTTGGTCATCACTGACTTTAATTTGTAGTTTAAAAATTGATAATTAAAAATATTAGTAATACAATCCACATTAAAGCGCCTCTTTGTCTGATTAAAGTATCTTGTGAATGTAATAAGGTTTGTTAGAGGAGGCAAAGAATCCATAACAGCAGGTGGCTTTATTTAATCACAACTGAAAGTATCTAGAACTTGTAAATGTATGTAGCAGTAAATAATTGTCTTTTCAGCATATTTAAATACAGTAAAACAGTGTCATTTTACAATCTAAATATTCAACATTATTAACTCCTTTACATACAGAAGAGGGCAGAAAGGGTGAAGCCTCCACCCTCCATCTCTATCCCAGACACTGGAGGTTTTATTCAACTATGAAAGAAACAGTTTGTGATATTTTTCTGACATCACAGTGAAGCAATCAGCACATCACTGTAAGATCTGACTGAAATCTGCTCTGCACGCTCTTTAAAGTCATGCTTTTATCGGTACTTTACTCTCTGGCCGATGATGTTCGAT